CCTCCTCCTCCTCCTCCTACTCCTCCTCCCCTGTCCGGTCGCTCCCTCTCCGAATCTGCCTTGCCGCCATCACCATTGATCGGCCATCGTCATATACCCATAACCATCACCATCATCATCACCATCAGCACTGCCATCGTCCCTCCTCCCCCCTCTCGGTCCTCTCGTGCGATCAACCTTGCCGTCGTCACCATTGATCGGCCATCGTCGTGTCCATAACCATCACCGTGATTACCATCACTGCCAACATCCCTCCTCCCCCCTCTCCCTCCTCTCTCCTCCCCCGCATCCTCTTCCCAGCGCCCTCGGGGCCGATGCGGCAGCCTGCTCGCTGCCTTCTGGCACGGGGGGCGGCAGCTGGTCCATCATCTGGGCCACGAAGCGCTCCGACTCCAGGGGCGGCGCTCCCTTCGCCGCCTTCTTCTCCTGGGGGGGAGGAGACGGCGTGGGCGGTGCGAGCGTTGCCAGACAGGGTGGAACAGCAGGTTGAGTGGAGCTGGGAAACGCAGGGATGTATCAAAACTTACGAATGCACGATCCATCGCGGAGAAAAGAAGGGAGGGCAGCACGGACACGGAACAGACGTATGACCCACCAGAACGCCCCCGAGAGCCCCTGCCTCCTGCCTCTTCCCTCCCTCTCCTCGTCCTTCTACGTGCTCCTCATGATCCTATCCCTCCAACCTCTTGACCCAACCAACTCTCTGGGCGCAGGTGACCCAGAGGAGTTCACCACTGCTCGTTACTCATGCACGGGTGGCGCACCTCGCGCGCGTCGCGCACCTGGCTTCTGCATTGACTCCGAAGCACTGTACACCCCATGGCGACCTCTGCCTATGCTGAGCATTGGGCGCTGCTTATGTGCCGTGAGGAAAGGCGGGCATAAGCAAGACGGCCTGTGGCGCTCCCGCAGGGGAGGCTGGACCACTCTAATATACACCCGCTCCCCAAGTCTGCTGGCCCCTAACCCGTGGCACTGCGGTCACTCGCACCCCACCATCCCCGTCGCCAAACAGTGTAGAGTGCACTTTGCGTTAACATCTGGATCGTGTTCGGGCGTGGCTTGATCACCTCACAGTGTTTTTGGCAGGGACGGCGGGGGTGCCATCATATTGCCTGGCGTCCTGTCAAAGACATTTGCGAAGCGCACGCTGCGGCTAAATCTTGGACCATTCGCGCGCGCCCCGTGATCATTTTGCATCACATCGGAGGCCAGTCCTCAAGAAGCCTGCCACAAGAAGCCCAACCCTGAGACCCCAGGACGTCCTTGAATTTTCGGTGTGGGAACGTCGCGCTCTCCACGGCAAAGCCATCGAAGCCCAAGACACCCGGGGCACCCTGGAGGCAGGCAGGGCGCTCCTCGGCACGGGCCCCCACTGTGTCTTGACACCTGGCACGTCCGGCGCGCCTCGCCGGCGTCGCGCACCCGGCCAGCGTCTGCACCGTCGGGAGCCTGCAGAGGACGCACGCGCCCAACCACGTGCACAAACGCAGCCCCCCCCCGCCGGCGAGACCAGCCTCCTGCTACGGACGCTCGCGCAATGCGTACCATCGACACCCAACGTGGACTCGTGCACAGTCGACCCGCGTCGCAAGGATGCACGATGGGGGTGCAGGGGCCTTGGACGCCCATTTCGGAGCTTTCCGAGCGGGGCGCGGCCAACAAAAGTGGCCAAGGATGGACCGAGGAGGCAAGGGTGCAAGGGTACCCTTGGGAAGGATGCCCATCCTCCTTCTGCGGGTTCACTGTACGTGTGCGTCCCTGTCCCGAGCACTGGTTCCCGGTGCTCGTCGATGGTGGCGACTGCCTATGATGGGGGTTCGAGTGGGGATTCGAGTGCTACCTAATTTAAAGGGAAATTAGGACACACAAATAAATACACACAAATAAAAATAGTCCCCATATTTTCCCATATTTTCTGGGTTTCTGTCTTCCCCACCACTTCCCATATTTTCCCATATTTTCCAGGGGATCGAGGATGAATTGTGTCTGTGTGTCTTTTTCCCTCCTGATAATTGGTGCGAGGGCCGGTGGGAGTGGGCGAGACGGCCGTCCTGCAGGAGGCAGCTGGATCGCTGCTCCTTCTTCACGCACACCCCCTCCCCAACTCTGCCTGCCTCGACCCCCTGGCAGCGCGAGCACCCTCCTCATTAGAAGGGAGAGAGAAGAAGCAGAAGGACGACGGCACAAACGTGAACTTTTGGCGCTCCGCGCGGGTTGCTTGGATCTGCGCTGGATCCCTCTGCCTGGCGCGCGGAGCGCGCCAGGTACGGCGCTGGGAGCGCCGCCGGGGTAGCCCCAACGCGGATCCAAGAAATCCGCGCGGAGCGCCAAAAGTTTATGTTGATGCAGTTTTTCCTTCGCCGATCTCACCCATACCAATGCGAGCACCCCCACCCGTCACTGCCGCAAAGCAATACGAGCTGCACTCTGCGGCAAAATTCGGAGCATGCTCGAGCCCCCGTGACCACTGTGCATTCCCTGTTGCTGGCAGGGGCGGAGAGAGGGTGCCAGCACCTTGCCTGGTGCGCGCAGCCCGCCATCCCTGACTGAGCACATGCAAAATTGAAGGGGCCCTGGGACACACAAATAAAGACACGCAAATCCCAGGATTCCCCATATCTTCCTATATTTTTTGGATCTTCGTCTTCCCCCCACCCCCTTCCAATAATTTCGCATACTTTCCTGTGAGTCGACGATGAATTCTGTCTGTTCGTTTTCCCCTACTGAAAGGTGCACGCTGAGGTAAAACCTTGGACCATGCGCCAGCGACCTGCGATCGCTCTGCGCTGGCATTTGCCAAAGATGGCGGAGGTGTCCCCGCACGCGCGGTGCACCTCGCGGGCGTCGCGCATCTGGCCCGTGCCTCCTGCCTGTGCCGAGAGATTCGGGTGCTGCTTATGTGCTGAGAGGGCGGGCGGGAGTGAGCTAAACGGCTTGCGGCGCTCCCGTAGGGGAACTTGACAACTGCCCCTTCTCGATGGACACACCCTGCCCCACTCGACCAGCCCCCAACCCCCGCAAGTGCAGACACCAGCAACCATCCCAGTGCAAAGTGCACGCTGGTGGGGGAAATCAGGATCATGTTCGGGCGCCGCGCGATCACCTTACAATGTTTTGAACAGGGGCGCCCTCCGCCATTCCACCAGCCTCTAACTAACCTATGCCGATGCGGACACCCACCCGACATCCCTGTCGCAAAGCAATACGAATGCTGCGGCAGTATCCAGATCATGTTCGGGCTCCCCGTTGGATGAATTGCGGTTGACGGGCACGGACGAGGTGCCGGCACACTGCCGGGTGCCCGCAGGCCCACCATCCATGCCAAAAACATATGCAACAAGCACGCTGCGGGCAACATTTTGGACAATGCGCTGGCGACCTGCGATCGCGTTGCACTGTTGTTCGGAAGGGGTGATGTGGGTGCCCTGGCACGCACGCGCTTCTCGCGGGCTTCACGCAACTGGCTGGCGCCTCGAAAGGAAACCATCAGGAGCGCTGGTCTTCCGTTTCTAGATGCCCGAGATCAGTCTGCTACCAGAGCCGGGACCAAGAAACTATTCGCACTCCGCTAATATTTTAAAGAGATGATGTTAGTTTTCTCTGCTTTGTTCGAGCTATAGGCTGCTGCTGCTGTGCTGGGAGGACGGGTGGCGGTGAGCTGAAGACGGCCTGCGACTCGTGGGCAGCTCGGTGCCTCCCCCCCGCCTTTCCTGCTCCGGGTCTGAGCGCCCCGCCGCCCCCCCCCCGCGCGAGGGGTTCGAAGCTCACCGTTGGCACTGTAGAGTAGTGGAAGCAATTGGTTTTCAAAATGTTTGGTCTTAGGATTGCAAAAAAAACAGGATTGCAAAAAAAACAAGGATTGCAAAAAGGATTGCAAAAAAACCCTTTTGCAATCCTTGGGATTGCAAAAAGGTTTTTTTGCAATCCGGTTTTTTTTTGCAACCCTTCGGGTTTTTTTTGCAATCGCTCTGCGTGGCGACGCCCCCGTCGCCACGCGTGCCCTCTGCGTGCCCGAAAGGTGGCACGCGGCAGCCCCGGCAGGGCTCGAGGTGGCAGCCAGCACGCTGCCGGGAAGCCCACGGAGACCCACCCGAGACGGCTCCAGGTGTCGACGCGGAGCCTCCCGGAGACGCGCCCGAGAGAGGGCAAAAACACCTCGAACCTCCACGGCATGCTCAATTCGTTGCGGCTTGCTGGCCAGTCTGCGTCCGATGGACTTTCGAAGCCTAAACATGCCTCCAGCATCGCCCAAGAAAAGCCCAGAAGGGCCCCAAGAGAAGGCCAGAAGCTTCAAGGGAGTCCCAAGAAAAGCCCAGAAGGGCCCCAAGACAACTCCAAGAACGCCCCAGTGTACCCCGAAAGCGCTCCAAGAGGAGACTTGTCGAGCTCCAGAGGAGCAGTGCTAATTGAAGCCGATCATGATCGGAGGCCAACAGGGGTGGCCCAATGAGGGCCTGAAAGGCCCCTAAAAGAGCCCCAACAGAACTCCGAGACGGCCCCGAGAGGCCACCAAGAAACTCCCCGAGGCGCCAGGAGCGGCGCCCCGACGCGCCGCCGGGTCTGCCGGGCGGGGCTCAGTACGGATCCGAGAAGTCCACGCGGAGCGCCAAAAGCTCATGTGTATGCCGTGCCGTCTTCCTCGGCGCTCGAAAAGAAAAGCCAACGACTGCACAAAAGCACCACCTGCGGAGGCCCGCCCGCACTTCCGAGGTCGGCGCCGGGTCGCCCCCCCTCCTCTTGCGACGCCCTCGGCGCCGCCCCTGGCGCGATCTGCGCGCGGGGGGAGGCGGGGGTCCGGCGCCGACCCAAGCGATGAGGGGCAGCGATAGGGGGGGACTGCGGCACAGGGGGGAAGAGACATATCGGCCTGGAGTCGGCGATCCCTCGCCGGTGGCTCGGCGATGGGCCCCCGATGGCGAATCCGCACGCTCCAGGGCAGGTTGGGGCTGTCGGGCCCCCGTCGGCGATCCGCGGGCGATTGGGAGTCGGTGCGTCCCCTCCATGCCTATTCCCCCCCTCTATCGTTGGCCCTGGAAAGATCTGCGAGGACCTTCGAAAGCTTCCAACGGGGCGCACGCCGCATGGCGGCCCCCATCTCCGCCCTCGTGGGACTTGCGGAAGCCGAGCTCGGGGATATGCGACGAGGGGGCGCGCGTCGTCGATATGGGTGCGTCCGAGTTCCCCTTCGCTTTTCTGGGCGGCCAGAGTTTGTGCGGGGACTCGGGGAGCACTCGGCTGCGCTGAGCTGCCCCGATACGCCACACGTGACCCGGAGCGTGTTGACATGTGGCTCGACACGCAGACCGAAAACGTGTGCCTGACCACACGCATCCGCAGGGGAAAGCAGGCTCGCGCGCTGAACCGACACGCAGCATCTCGACCCGGCACGTCCCGAACACGGCCCCTGTCACGCTGAAGCTAAGCGGCTGCGAGTTCGTGCTCACGCCGCATGCCTTTTTGCCGGCCAGCTCAGCTTTCCGCAGGCGACGGCCGCAACGGCACGCCCAGCAGCTCGCACGCCCGCGCGAGCGCGGCGCCGCACCGCCAGGCCAGCCGCCGCTCTGGCGGCACCAGCGGGTCCGCCCTCGTCTCCGGAAGAAGAGAAAACTGCATGCACTGAAAGTCTCGGAGGCCCGCGCGGATGTCCTGGATCGGCGCAACAGCCCCCCCTTCTCGGCGGAGGACACCTGCGCAGATCCGCCTTGCTCCTGCCTCTCCGCCAAGGGTCAAGCCATCAGAGGAGGAGAGGAGAGGGAGGAGGCAAGAGGTGGACCGTTCTGTAAACCCTCGACGAATACCCTCTCCCGGCGCGCCGAGCGCGCTGGGGGCGGCGACGGAGGCTCCGCCAAGGGGGCCCAGCGCCGGTCCGAGAAGCCCGCGCGGAGATCCGACTGTTTCTGCTTACGCAGCTGTTTCTTCTTCGAGCCTCGCCAATGTTCACGAGCACCACCGGCTTGCCGGCCTCCGCCGCGGCCTTGACCAGGCTGAAGGCGCTGAAGACCTGCAGGGAGCTGCCCAGGACCAGGACCCCCGAGGAGCCCTCCACCGCCGCCAGCGCCGCGGCCTTCACGGCGGGCTCCAGGGAGCCCCCGAAGAACACCACCGTCGGCTTCCAGATCCCGCCGCAGGCCGAGCACGGCGGCACGACGAAGCCGGCGAAGTCGCTGGTGGCCAGGTGCGCGTCCCCGTCGGCGCGCAGGTCCACGGAGGGCCCCGACGGGAGGTGGGCGCTCACCCACTCGGCGTTGACGACCTCCAGCTCCTGCTGGAAGTCGCGCCGCGGCCGCCGGCGCCCGCAGCCCAGGCAGCCCACCTCGTCGTTGCGCCCGTGGAGGTCGATCACGTTCCTCGTGCCCGCCTTCTGGTGGAGCCCGTCCACATTCTGGGTGACCACGCCCTGGACGTACCCGTGGCGCTCCATCTCGGCGAGCGCCCAGTGCGCGACGTTGGGCACCGCCGAGTCGAAGAAGCGCCAGCCGGCCAGGCTGCGCGCCCAGTAGCGCTTGCGCTGGCCCAGGCTGCCGACGAACTCCGCGTGCCTCATGTGAGGGGCAGCGATACGGGGTGGCCAGCTCAGGCAGGGGGCAGCATCGACCTGAAATCGGCGACGCATCGCCGACAGATCGGCGAGAGGCCCCCCGTAGCGAACCCGCACGGTCCTGGGCGGGGCGGGCCATCGGGCCACTATCGGGGATGATCTGGCAGAGGTACGCATACACACGACGCTCCGCTCGTTCATGCCGTGTGGTGCCGCCCTGCCCGCTCTTCCCCGCCTCTCCTCCCGCCCCACACGGTAAAGCTAGAGGCTCGGTTGACGCGCCCCTGCTCCCGCAAAGCGGAGCGTCAAGGCTGGCATCTTGGTGGTCTCCAAACCAGGTGGTGAGAAACCCGGTGGTGACCCCGATTCCCCCAAAAAGTAATTCTGGGTCACCACCGGGTTTGGGGACACGCGGTCGCCACGAGGTTTTGCGTTTCCTGGGCCAGCCAGCGCTCGAAAACCATTACCCAAATCGCCCAAAACTCACCACCGGGTGTTCTCACCACCACGTTTGGGGACCACCAAGCATCGCCTGCCTCCACCCTCGCGGCCCGGAGCACGGCTCGACGGACCGCTCGGAGTTGCACGGGCGATTCGGGGTCGATGCGCCCCCACCCTGCACCTGTGCCCCCCCCCAGCGTTGCCCCGGATGGGGCGGTGCCCCCTGGAGTAGGACCCCTCGGGGCTGCGGTAGTCGGGCACGCCCGACTCGGTGGAGCAGCCCGCCCCGCTGAGGCAGGCCAGCCGCCCTCCGGCCCGGGAGACGGCGGAGGGGCGAGAAAGGACGGCACGGACAGAAAGCGTCGGAGACCCGCGAGGCCTCCTTGGGTCGGCGCTGGCCCACCCCCTCGATCGGGCGAGGACAGCTGTGCGCAGGTCCATCTCTTTCCTCCACTCCGCTCACCCAGGGGAGCGCAAAACACTCAGAGGAAGAGGGGGGAGGGCGAGAGAGGAGGTGCACTTGCATACGTAACTATTCGATTCGCACCATATCCCGGCGGCGCCGGAGGCGCCGCTACAGAGGGGCGGGGGAGCCGCGCCGATCCAAAAACCCGCGCAGACCGAAAGGTGGTGCTTTTTTCTGGGGAACCGAACTCTATACACCGACGATATTCCAGCCCTGCACTTGCACAAGAAAGCGGATCCTAAAACGTACGGGGTGTTTTTTTTATTTTTCGTTGTGCCCCCGGGAAGCAGGTAATTAAAAACAACTATGCACCACGCCACGCCGACGGGAACTACTTGGATTGAAAAGCGACAGCCGCCACTGGCAGCGTATCCGCTCCAGTTCCAAATGTTTTGCCGCCCTTTCCCCCTCGGGATGAACTCGGCGAAATCGTCCGCCTCGCCGCCCGTAACGGGCGCGCCCCGCGGCGCGAAGGATGAGGCCTTCCGGGCGGGGGCCGCGGCCCGGGGGCTCGCGGCAGGCGCGCGGAGCAGCGCGCGGCCGTGCGGCGGCATGGCGGGCGGAGGGCGCTAGCTCTCTGTGAGCATCATCGGCGGGGAGGTGCGTCGCCCGCCTCCGGTCTCCCTGGTCGGGGCGCGCCCTGGGACGGGTCCGGAGGCCGATGTTGGAAAGAGCAGGAGGGAGGGAGGATGAGGATGAGGATGAGGATGAGGATGATGATGACGAGGACGAAGAAAAGGAGGGAAGAAAGGGTAAGAATGAACCAAACCTCTCGGAATTTTGACGGCAATGAAGATCAGCAGCGAAGATCAGAAGAGCATCGGATGCGTCCCACCGCGTTGCCGCAATAACTCAAGGGCCCTGGTTGGCCCCCAAAACATACGGAAACAGGAATGTACTCACCTTTTCCTTTCTCCTCTACGCACCTATGTACAAACATATTTTGCAGCGCATCTGTCACACCCGTCAAAGCGAAAGATAAGACTGAACTGTAAGAGGCAACAGCATGGCTGCGCTCCACACACACTTGGTGATGTTTGCCTTCTTGATCACCTGCTCCGCGGTGACTTCACCCGTTCGCTGAAACCCTTGGGTCTGGTGCTGAAACCTCCAGGTATCGCCGTAGAACCTATATGGCACCATGCTCTGTACTCCCACTGGTCGTGCCATAGACTCCTCGTCGGAGCTCCATGCCAGCTCATCTGACTTGACGAATGCCCTCGCCTACTCGACCTTCTTCTTCTTCTTCTTCTTATTATTCTTCTGCTCGCTGATCTTATCCTGGTCAATATCCTTCACCCTCTCGTAGGATCTCTCGAGCTCCTAACCCTCCGCCATGAGAATGGCCAACTCCATCTTGCAGGTGTACTCAGCCTCCGTCTTTTAGTGCACGATTGTGGGACATGCCACAGCGATACCGACGACCGCGCACAACGAGGGCAAACCAGAAAACGAGATTGACACTCTTGCGGATATCATTATTATTGATGTTGCTGGTCGCTCGGGTCACTGATCTGCAGCAGCTCGGTGCGCACGAGGCCAGCTGCATGAGAGGCGAGGTCGCCTTCCTTAGTGCTGATGATGTGGCCGCCCGCGTCTGGTCGATGCTCTCCTGCGGCTCATCCTCGGTATTATCCTTGGCCGCCGCGTAAGCGGGGTCGTGCGCGAGTTGGAGCCGCCCGTGACGCAGTCGATCTGCGAAGAGCTGTCTCGCTGCAGTCTTCGTCAACCTGCCCGCGCGCTGCCTCTCTAAAGATGCCCACTTCCAGCGTGCGCCGGCGGCCTCCACAGTCTCGCGCAACAGTAGCACCTCGATGATGGCCCTCTTGTCCTGGAAACTTGTGACGCCCTCCTGCTAGTGGCGTCCACGACCAGTGCTGACGACGGTCCCGTGAGTACCCTCGTCCTTGGCGATGTCCACGTTGTCGTATATCATGGCTGCCCCAGAACCGCTCGGCAAACTCCAGTGCGCCCATGCCTGCTGCGATTTTGGGCTCTTCATGATATGATGAGAGTGCCCCACGCACTAGCCTGAAAGTCTTCCAGTCCACTCCGCTGAAGTCGGACTCGTAGCCCTGCGGGACCTTCTTGTGGCATGCCCGGATGACGCATTCCTCCTGGCTGGCTCCGTCACGCCACACCCCCCAGACTGCATCGGTCATCGCCGCGAACAAGACGTCGCCGACTGGCCGAATCTGCTTCATCTTGAGGCCCACATCCGCCTTTTGCCTGCAGAACCGCTGCGTCTTGTTAACCTCCTTGACTGCGCCCGCCGTGGCCGTCTGTAACTGATAAGTGCTGGCTGGCACCGATGCGCGTGGACACGCCTGTTGGCTTGGCCATAGTAGTGCTCCCAGTAGTCCGCGTAGCTGTCGCTTCTCCTTGATCGTCAGCCCCCGGCCGGCTGTTCTCGCCGTTCTTCTAGTCGATGGTGATGAGCTTGAGGTCATTCTATCGCCATGGATCCACTTCATGAACTCGAACAGCTTCTTGACATCCACGAGGACCTACCCTCTCGCAGTGGTAGCCTGGCCTCTGGTCTCACCTCCGGATACGTCGCCCACGCGACGCAAGGGGAACCCGCCGTTGTAATTGCGCCTGTTGAAACACAGGAAAACGCAGACGCCCAGAGGATGCTGCTTGACACTGGTCGCCCTCGGATCGTCCACTCCACGTAGCCACCAAAGCCTTGGTGCGTCCACCTGGCCGCGCATCGGCTTGCTGAGCTTTAGCGAGGTGTCGGAGTCGATTCCCATGAGCTCTGCCGCGTCTCTAGGCAACGCAGCGCATACCTCGCGCTCTTAGGATCGCACATGAAAGAATGTCGTCGCCGCGTCTGCTGCCCAGAAACTTGAACCGTTGTTCGATGCCAGAAGCAGAACCGGTGGACGTCCCAGCCTCGACGCCGTAGGTGATGCCGCAGGTACGTCGTCGTCCAGCGCGTCGGGATCGTTGAACCCGTGCAGTGCCGATATGGATTTTCGCCCATGGCGTGCCATCGTCGTTCCTGGCCCACTTGAGTACCCACTTCGCCTTGACTATCCCGCGAGGGCTCTCCACGCCGGTCGATTTGTGGAACTCCCACGCGTCGTTGCCGAAGACCTCCGCGAGCTCCTCGCGCCTGCCCTCTACGAGCGCTGCTCGTTCATCGGGGGCCATCCTCCTCGTCCCGTTGTCCACGTAGATGTCGCGAAGCTTGGCCTGGGCCCCATTGAACTCCCAGCCGAACGGAAGATTGTCCTTGCGGACCATTACTTGTAATGCAGCGAGCTCGTCGTCTGCTTCATCTGGCCCTGGTCGCTGTATAGCCGCGTTCGCACCTGCCGCGGATAGGGCTGGTTCTCGAGATGCCCACTGACGAAATATCGCCGTCTCGGTGTTCCCCAATCGGTCTACTCGAACGTAAGTTTTCTGGTGGTACTAAAGGTGCTGGCATTGGCGCTGGATACTCTGACTCTGGTGGTGGTGCGATCGGAATCGGCTCTTGGTCGGGCTGGCCATATGCTGCTTGGCGGCCGTCGCGCGGCGTCGCCATCTGCATCTGGCAGCTCCTCGGCCAGCGTTGCCGCCGGTGCTGGCCCAGCTGGGACCGGTTCGGCTGGCGCCGCTGCCGCTCCTGATGAGGCGTCAGCTCCCCGGGTAGCCTCGTCACCGATCTCCGCTCCTGGCGCCGGGCCTCCAGCCGCCCGCAGCCGCTCGGCAGGCCGCCGCTGCTCGTCGCCTGGCGCGTTGAGCGGGGGCTGCTGCAAGCTGATGTCGTGAAAACTGCGCAGAACCCGTCTTCCGCGCGTTTCCCAGCGCGCCCATGGTCTGCGGCCGTTTCTCGAGTAAAACGCAATCCTGGCCACTCACGTTTGTCCGAACATATTCTGGCGCACAACGTAGCAGCTGGGTGCCGCGCACGATCGAGTAGATCCGCGGTCCGCTCTCGTCCTGTCGCATCGCCTTGAATACCGCGGTAGCAGGGCACCCCCACCCGTCATTGATAAGTCCGCTGCCCCCCCCCCTTCGCCAGCTGACCGATGGAAAGGTCGCGCTTGAGAACGACGTGTCATCGCAATAGTGCGCGCCTCAATTTAGCGGAGGCGTCGACTCCCATGAAAGCTGCAGCCGGCATGGGCCGCCTTCCTGCACAACGTCGCCGGCGACAACTAGTCGCTGGGATACGTCATTGCACTGGTAGGGCCCATGCTAAGAGCTCACTGGCATGGCGAAAATCCCAACGTGAACACGAGGCGGCTGACCTGGTAGGGCACGTAGACGCACGCCTCGAATATGGCCGGAACGTTGACGGTCGCGCTGGCTCCACATTCGATCGCGTCCGCGCAGTAGAGCTCGATTGGCCCCGAACCACTTGACGACGTTGCTCCGCCACTCCGGGCCTCGAGCGCACCCCGCCTGCTGCGATCGCGATGTCGACGCCGCGCTGCCCCAGGAACTGCGCCAAACTTTCCGAGGCGAAACCTGAGCAGTCTTCGGCGGATAGCTCCCCCATCGGTCCGGACTGCCTGATCCAGGCGCGCTCGGTTACCTGGGCGAGCTCGTCGGCCGTCTCCGTTTGATCACACGCAGTGCGCAGTGCCTCGTAGCCCCGCCCACCATGGACAACGCCGCTGTCTCCCCAGCCTGAGTCTTGATCCAGAACACGTCGGTGTAATCCGTCTCTTTGAACTTCGCCGCCTGCGTCGCCGATGCTAGCGTTGCCACGGGTGGCCCCTGTCGCTGCATGCAGCGCTCGCATCGGCCCTCTGCCAAGCAATGGAGCACATTCCCCCGCGCGCCAGCTCGTCGAAGTAGTCGGCGCAACACCGCGGGGCTCGGAAAACCAATGCTGCGGCCCAGCCGCTTGACGTTGCGCAGGGCATCCACGCCGCGCTTCTCGCGTCGCTGCAGATGTGCATGAAACACCTCGCCCTTGTTTTTCTCGCCCTCCTCCTTCTCTTGGGCCGTTGGCTCCGTCGCCGCGGTTTCGCCGCGGCCCTCGCGGCTGTAGAACTCCTCGATCTCGGCCCCCGCCGCGACGTGAGCCAGCGTTGCCGCCAAGACGAACGGGCAGTCCTCCGAAGCCTTGGTGCGCTTCGCGCCTGCGCCGCTGACGCTGCGCTCCGGCATGGAGCCCCCGCGAGAGTTGTCGCGCCTCGCAGTAATGACTGCTATCATGAGCTTCCTGGTCGCGTCGATGGCGGTCGGCTCCTCGACCGACTCGCCGCCGTCTGCCACCGCCAATCCGCGCATGAACTGGTCGAGCGTCGCTCTGGACACGGGCAGCCCCGACCGAGCCACCGCCCGCCACGCCCCCGACGTCGCCTGATGCCCCAGGCGAGCGCGACGCCCGCCCTCGCGACTCATCCAGTAGACGCCCGCGGCGAAATTCCGACGCGCCCGACGATGCCAACCACGCAGCTCGAGCAGATGCTCCTTCAACCCTGGATGTTGATAAAGATTCAGCCCATGCACGCTGGACCAGAGGCCAAATACCTGTCACGCGCGGATGTCGTCGGGTTGCTCCTCTAAAAGATTATTGAATTTATCTCGGCGGTCGCCATTCGAGATGTCTCATCTGGCACGCAGGCCGAACGCCTCGACCTTCGCCCCCAGGTCGCACAGGGCTTGAACAAGGCGGGCCTCGCCAGCGCAGGCCTCCCAATTAGAACGCCTCGTCGCGCAGCGCTCGGTGTCTGCTCGGCGCATCGCCTGCATGTCTTGGTCGCTCGCGTGCCTGACTGCCGAGTCGATGTTCTGGACGATTTGAGCCGTGACCTGCCTAACCTCGCCCGTCTCGTCGCAGCTGGTCTCCTAGTCGAGGTCGCTTGACTCGTTGCTCGACCGGTCCTACGCCAGCATGGGCCGGGCAAACCTGCGCCCACGGGCTGGAATGGCGTCGCGGCGAAGCAGATGTCGCCATGCCCCGCGCGATCGAGGCACTGGCGCCGCCTCGCGCACGCGCCGCAGAAGTTGGCCCTCACGACTCGTTGCGGGCGTTCTCCGCTGCGTGCCCGTGGCTGTCGCTGCCCCCGCTGCTCGCCGCCCGCTCGACTCTGCAGCGTAGATCTGGCCCAAGACCTCCAGGGAGCCGACGGCCGGGTCGCCGCCGCCCAAGAACGCATCCGCGCCCGCCGGCCCGCGCTCGAAGTCGAGGCGACGTCGGCTGTCTGATCGCCCAGGCCCTCCAAGAGGTCGACCGGGCAGTGGACCGGCGGCGACAGAACAGACGCTTCGAAACCCCCGCCGCCCCATGCGATCCGCCGCTCAGCGCGGGCGACCTGCGCTGCGAACTCATCGAGCAGGGGCCGCGGGGGCATTGGCGCCCAGGCAGGGGCGACGTAGACGCGCAGCGCCAGGACTCTCTGCTCGCAGCTGGAAGGGATGAGGCCGCACTACTGCGCATGCTCAATCTTGTCGCGGCCGAACCTGAATGGCATTCGGCAGTTGTGAAACTTGTCCTCGGTCGGCTAGCCCTCGGCGTGGAGCTCCGCCAGATAATCCATAATCGCCCCCAAACCTGACATGGGCGCGGTAGCTCCAGTCCAGGATGCCGCGCTGCCAATTCTCGTTGCCCCAGTCGGCCACGTCAACCATCGTCTCGTCTGAGGCGCACGGCCGCTGCTTTGGTGGCTCCGTGCAGTCCTTTGCCCAATGTTCAGTCTTGCCACATCGTAGGCGCGTCGCCGAGCTCTGTGCTGGTTTGCTGGCCGCTGCTGCCCTCTCCGACGGTCGTGGTCTGACGCGTGCGTTATGACATGAAAATGGGGCTGCTGTCTTCCGCCCAGGGCTGCCCTTCCCGCCGTAACTGGGGCTGCCCTTCGCGCCCCTGCCGCGCCCCAGTCTCCCCCTTGCATGATGCTCGGCCTCGCGGGGCGGATGGCGGTGGCCCCCCTGCACCGTCGATGGGTCGCCCATCGCTGCCGCGGGAAGAAGCCGCCGGCAAGCCGAAGGCCGTTGAATCATTTCCTCGAGTCATGGAAGGCTGCGAACATCTCGTCGTGCTCGCCAGGGTCGATGGCCTTCATGGTGGCCGTCGCTTGCTGGCAATGCCTTTCGTCGCAAACGGACCAGTCTGGCTTCGTCCGGGCCGTAGTACGCTTCTTTCTCGAAGCATTCCCCACCTTCGTCGACGTAGCATTGGATCTTAGCAGATTCGGTTCGTATACTGTGCTCTCCTGTTCGAAAGTTATCTCCAGCGTCTCGATGACCTGATCATGTGTGATGTCCTTACCCACGATGGACATGATGACGTCCTTGTGATCTGAACTGCAACTGGCACGTCGTAGCACCAGTCATCCTCGAACCTTTGGCGGCAACTGGATGTCGCGCGTGTTGAGCCCCCTCCCGGCCGCCCGAACTCTGGAGATGTAGATGAAAAGCGCATCCTGGTTGATCCGCATGAGCTTGTAGAGGTACTCCTCCACATCGCATGCCAATTCCGTTCGGGTGTCCATCTTGAGCCGTCACCGCAGTCGCTCGACTAGCGCCTTGGCGGCGCCCGTCTTGATCCAATCGTCCGCCATGGGATCCTCGACCTCGTCCATGGCTTCGTTGGTGAGACCTGCTGACAGCAGAGAACCGCGTCGCCCTCTTTCTTCGCCAAGGTTAACTTCGCCATGAACATGATCGTTCGCTTCACGTACGCTCTCCATCTCGATAGTGTGCCGTCGAACTGATGGACCCCGCGCCCTAGTAGAATCGATTGGTGATCGATGCGCGCTGCTGGCTTTGCCATGATGATAACCTTTTGTTGCGTAGATGTTGTCCGTGCTGTCGAAGATGCTGAAGGCACTGTTTGTGTCGAACTGCTCTGGTGGCTGCTGCTGGTCGTCCGTGCGGTTGTTGAAGAGCTCGCTAAAGCTCAATTCCGTCAAACTGCTCTGGCAGCCGATGTAGCCGAAGCTGGATATGGAGGTGCTGTCGCTGGGGTCAGCGCCGTCGAGCGAGCCGCTGTGCATGAAGGGCGCTGGCGAGCCTGCGGCGACTGATCGACAGGCTCCGCTACCCATACGACTCAACCAAAACCCTCGAAGTCTTTGATGGCAATGAAAATCCGCAACAAAAATCGGAAGAGCATCAGATGCGTTCCACAACGCTCCCGCAATAACTCAAGAGCCCTGGCTGAACCAACGGGTGTACGGAAAAAGGGCATGTACTCACCATCTCCCTTCTGTACAACATACAAATGCACAGCGTAGATCTCAGAGGAGGAGGAGGAAGAGGAGGAGGAGGAGGAGGAGGAGGAGGAAGAGTGAGTGTGTAAGTGAGGCGATGGCTGAATCACATGATCCGACCGACACGCATGCTGAGACAGACAAGCCCCCTCTCCGCGGCAGTCCTCGAACTTCCGGAACGGAGGGGGCGGCCGCGCACGCGCGCCACGCTCCCCTCGCTCCGTCCAGCCGCCTACAGGACGCCCCTGTGAATCTTCTCGGCCTCACTTGACGCGTCAGGCTACTCATGGTTCGCGGCAGTATCAAGATCAGCCTGCCTGGGGGCAGGTAGCAACTCGGGACCGGGCAGGCCCAGATTGACAAGTTGGGACGGGCTGCAGAAACATCCACCGATACAGAACCAAACCTCAAGCCCAGAGTGATACAACAACTAATAAGATTCGTGGACCCACCCCCCGGCAAGGTGTGGGCAAATCCCCAACTGGAGAAGAAAAATATCTGCCGTCCCTGCTGAGGACGTGCAGCGTACCAAAAAAAGAGGATTGGGGAAGAACACGCGGTGGCGGCACAAGCAAGCACTCACCACCCTCACGGGGCTTGTTTTTTTTCGCTCGCAGGCACAAGATTCTATCTGTTTCTCAACGGCATCAAGCGTGGCAAGAAGAAGTTGATGCCTGATCAGAAGGCCGTTTCTCTCGACCAGGTGCAACCTGTTACGAACATTCGCGCCTGCAGGCCCACGTGAGGTCGTGACGCGCGTCCTTCCAAGCCGCGCCAAGGTCGACCCAACTCGGGAGACGGTCCAGGAAAGCGAAGCCTCGGTCAGGAACATCATGGAGCACGATCGAGCCGACGAGAACGCCGCCCCCGCGCAAACTCACACACACACACACACACACACACTTTCACATATATATACACACACACTATAACACGATCACACAGACACAACCGCACAAGAAGCCACACTCACACACACACACACAAACACGCCCACTTTTACTCCTCCATTCTGTCACACTTTCACACTTCCACACAAACACACACACACACACTCAGACGCACGCGCGGGCAAACACACACACACACACACACAGACGCACATTCACACACACACACACGCACACAAAAAGAAGAGCAGAAGGACCAAGACGGAACACTTACATATACACACCTGTCTCTGCAGCAATTCCGCCTGCACGATCAACTCGCTCCCCTTCTCAACCTGGCCTGCCCTTGCGCCCCGTCCCAAACTCATCCCTCATCCTCGGCAGGATCAGCTTACCCCCTGGCATCAGCTCACTTCCTGGCCCCGCCCCTTCAAGCAGCATCAAGAAGGGGCAGTGCTGGATAGCTCCTCCTTCGAACGCATGTCCGCACCGTGCAACATCTTGACTGCGTCCTGAGCCGCCTGCCAGCAACGGGCAATCAATTATGATTGCCGACCTTGCAATCTGCCACTGCGTCGTCAATCCCGTTCAGAACAAGCAGGTAAAACCATGAAGTACAAATGCACATGACGTAAATTCGGCTTCGGCCCGCCCAGAAGAAAACAACGATTCATGAAGAGCATTCGGCTGTTGCTACAAGATGAATGATGCCCGCGGGTCCGGAAATACGGTCTTTCAACGAACGGTCTGTGTTCTTGGAGCCGCCTAGCCGGAAAATCACACTTCGTCTTCGTGTCGCGCGTGGCTTGCATCCGCAGCTGTGCGCGAATCCTTCAAGTCGCCCAGGATGGCGCAACAAAAAATCCTTCGGCTGACCCGTGGACTGCCCTGCCGGGGGTGTCTCGGAGACGCCTCCGTGCTGCTCCTCTGATGTCCCGTTAGTGTCCCGATTGGCTTGCGATGGCGTCGCAGAGTGATGTCGATGATGTTCCGATGATGTCCCGATTGATTTGCGGTGGCGTCCCGATGGTGTTTCTGTGGCGCCCCGATAGCATCCCATTTCATGTCTGTGGTGCTCCGATATCATCCAGATTGATCTTCCGTTGTGTCGCGATGGTGTCCCAACTGATTTGCGATAATGAGCGTCTCAGTGATAGGGTACATAGACCACATCTTGCACCACCTGACGCGGATCATAGATCGCATCGCTGGTCTATAAGCGTTCGCTTTCCACCACCCCCTCCCACCCCATCTTAATATTGGGTTCAGTCTGGGCTGGTCGAAGCAGCTCGGTGGGGCAACATTTTGTCGGGAGCCCCTGGGCGGCCCAAGGGCGCTTCGCCATGCACCCAATGTTATTAAGATCGGGGGGAAGGGGGGGAAGAGCAAAGCAGTATAGGCGCCAATGCGCAGTAAAAATGGTGCAACATGTTGCCGATGTACGGTGTGCCAACGGTGTGTCTATGGTGTACCGATTATGTTTGTGCCCACTGGTGTCCCGACGCATTTGCGATAGTATCCCGATTGTCCGATGGTGTGTCTGCGGCCCCGATGGTGTCCCGATTGATGTGCGGTCGCGTCCCGGTATTGTTTCTGTAGTGCCACGATGATCATCTGCGGTGTTTCGATGATGTCCGATTGATGTTCCATTGTGCCCCGACGGTGTCCCCATTGATTCGCGAGTGCCCCGATGGTGTCCAATAGTGCTTCTGTGGTGTCTCGATGGTGTCCCCAGTGATTTTCAAATGCGTCTCCACAATGTCCCGATTGATATGCGATGGTGCCCGAAGTGTGTCAAAATGATTTGTTGCTGCCCGATTCTGCCCTGGCATGTTTTCTGAAATGCCCCGACAAGGCCCCGATTGATGTCCCATGGTGTCCCACGTGTTACCTGGCTTCATGACGTTGTCACGGTGGTGTCCCGACGATCTGCCTGTCATGTCAACACGGTGCCCCCATGGTGTCACGGCACGACTCCAAAACTCGAACACACGAATATCCGCTACCGTGCCCTGGAGCACGGGCTGGAGTGTCCTCGGGTCCCTTCGAGCCCTCTGCATTGGCTTTGCAAATCCGCCGACCTGGCGCGCGAGCTTAAAGAAGCTACAGCCTGAGCTTCAGCTCTGCCAGGGGGGAGGTCGGACGTACTGACCCGGGTGAATCCAGACCCAGGTCGGTCAGGCCTTGCACAGGGGCTCCCAACTTCGCGCTTCGCGCTGCGCGAAGCGCGAAGTGCGAATAACTTCGCGCTCTCGCACCGCCTCCCAGGGGAGAAAAAAGAGGATAAAGAGGAATCGGAGCCGAACCGCGAAGCGCGAAGCGCGAATAACTTCGCGCCCTCGAGGGCGCCCTTGTTGCAGGATCCTGCAGGATCCTGCGCCCAAGCTCGGGTCAGTGCACCCCTGACCCTGCAGTCCTGCAGGAGCCAACGCTCTGGCTGACCCCCGTTGGCATTGACCCCCGTCTCAAGGGCTCCCAACTCGCGCTTCGCGCTGCGCGAAGCGCGAAGTGCGAATAACTACGCGCTCTCGCGCTTTCTCCCAGGGGAGAAGAGGAGGATGAGGAGGAATCGGAGCCGAAGCGCGAAGCGCGAAGCGCGAATAACTTCGCGCCCTCGATGGCGCCCTTGCGTCTCTTGAGCCCCGATGGGGGGGGGTATTCTGCCATTGCCGGGGCCACTCCAGCGCCGCCGGAGGGAGGGTGTGGGGGCGGCCTGGCTGGGGAATGGGAGAAGGGGGCGGGGGCGGCAAGGCCGCCAAGGCCGCCAAGGCCGCCAAGACGGCCCCAGAGAGCTCCTACACGCCCAAGATGGCCCCAAAACGGACCAAGATGCCACCAAGAGGCCCCACGAGCGCTCCAAGAGGACCCCTCAGAGGGCCACGAGAGGCACAGATGTGTGTGGGCTCCTTTGGTTTGATATGTTTGTGCGATTCTCGCCTTTTCGAGCTTCCGACGCTCTCAGACAGCCCAAGAGGTCCCCTAGACCGCCCCAAGACAACCCAGGAGGCTCCCAAGAAGGCTCCAAGACCGCCCAAGAGGGCCCGGAAGCAACCCAAGTGGCGCTCAAGGCGGCCCATGAGGGCCCCAGGACGGCCCCAAGAGGGGGGCCATGAATCGACGATTCGAGCCTTCTGCCCCAAGAGGCCCCCAGAAAGCCCCAAGAGTCCCCCGCGAGGCCCCAAGGGGCTCCCAAAAGGTCCCCAAAAGACCACAAGAAGCTCCCAAGAGGCCCCCAAAGAGGCTCCCAATCGGCCCCCGAGAGGCTTCACAACCGCGTCCGAGGAGGCCCCCGAGAAGCTTCCCACGAGATCCCAGGCCACCAGATTGGCCGCCCCCTCTTGAGCTATCACTGGGGTGCCTGACGTGTGCTAAGGTTCTGGTGGTTTGGATTATTCTTAAGACCCCCCCTGGGACTTCGGCCCAACGCACTGGCCACCCCGAAGGCCACACAAGACGCCGAAAAACCCAACGACGTTGGCCCAATCACCTCCAAGACGGCCAAGATGGCCTCCAAGACGCCTCCAAGATGGCCAGGCTGGCTCCAAGATGGCCCAAAATCGCACCAAGATGGCCTCCGAGACGGTCCCAAGATGCCTACAAGACCGCCAAAATCAGCCGGCCCCCTTGCGGGGCCATCAAGCTGCGAAGATTAGGCTTTCTTGTTCCCTGCACCAAGTCCAGGTTCAAGTCATCAATGTTACAGTCCTGCTTTGTGCTTCCTACTGAACATTGTTGCTGAGCGCGCGAGGGGGGGAGCCCCAAACCAGCCATTTTACCACGCCCACATCGCGTTGTCTGAATTCCTGGGGGGGGGGCGTGGTACACGTGAAACTACTTGATGGTCGCGTCCCCGAAACCATAATCCCTAGCAGAGTAAGCCAAATTCGCGTCCCCGAGGCCATAAACCCTCGTACATTACACAATATTCGCGTCCCCGAAGCCATAATCCTTTTGTAAATTACGCCGAAGCTGCGTCCCCGAGGCCATAAAACCTCGTAAAATACAGAATGTGTACCTTCGTAAATTACACAATACTCGCGTCCCCGAAGCCATACACCTCCGTAACTTATATAAACATTCGCGTCATCGAAGCCATAAACTTTCGCAAATTACAACATAGTCTCGTTCCCGAGGCCAAAAATGCTCATACATTAATCAATATTCGCCGATTCGAAAACATAAACTCTTATGAATTATATAAAATGTGCGTCCTCGAGGCCATAACACCTCGTAAATCACACAATAGCTGCGTCCCCGAGGCCATACAACCTAGTCAATTACACAATGTTCGCGTCTCCGAAGCCATAAGCCCTCGATTGTCGCTCCATCCAAACTCATCGCTTGCGATCGCGATCGTCAGCAGGTTTGTAGTGCGAACCGTCAGAGTTCGAACGCAGTTTTTCAAGTTTGCAGCGCAAGCCGTACAGGAAGAGATTGGCCCTCGCGTGAAGTCCCGACATTGTTTCACGTCAGCGTCCAGGCCTCCCAACACAGCTCTGGCAAGTCCCGTTCTAAGAGAGGGGAGCCGGCGGCAGGGGGCGAAGCCCTTGAGGATAATCCAAGAGAGCCCAAGTAGGCCCAAGAGACGCCAAAGAGGCCCCAAGGACAGCCCAAAAGGCCTGCAAGAGGTGATCCAGAAGGCCCGAACGAAGAAGCCAAGATCCGTGATTTCCCCGTGGTGTTTGAAAGATTGTAGCATTTCCTTCACAACTGCCTTCAGGCGGCCCAAGATGGCCCAAGGGGCCCCCAAGATTGCCACAAGATCGCCCAAGAGGCCTCCAAGATTGCCCCAAGATCGCCCAAGAGGCTCCCAAGACGGCGCCCAGAAGGGCCCCAAGACGGCCCAAGAGGCCTCCAAGACGCCCAAGATGGCCTCCGAGACGGCTCGTAAGCGCCCCAAGACGGCCCCAAGACGGCCCAGAGAGGCCCCCTAAGGCGGCTTCCGACGGCTTCAGACGGGCCAGGAATGCTGTAAGACTGCCCAAGCCCCCAAGAAACCCCCACAGGCCCCCGAGCGGCCCAAGGAGGCCCCCAAGATGCCTCCAAGAAAGCTCTCAGAAGGTCCCAGGAATGGCCCAAGCGGCTCCCAAGATATCTCCTCATCCTTGTCTTTTTCCTCCGCTCTTCCTTCCTACCCTCATTATCATGTTCCTTCCCCACGTGTTCCCCGAAGGGTTTCCACAACGGCTGGGGGGACACATGGTCCGATAGCTTCGCCAAACTGTGCCCAAAGGTTTGGCCACACAGGCGTATCCTAAAAGGCGGGAGACGCCGGTGATTCGCCGTATGCGTCGTCGATAAGAGGAGGTGGAAAGGACGGGAAGGAACAGTTGACCATGAAATACACGCTACGACCCCCGCCCAACGACCCACCATTGAGCCAACGCGTCTGGGAAATAGCCCGCCAACAAGCTCAACAGACGGACGCGACGCAAACATTCCATTCAACACATACTGCCTGAGGCGACTGTCAACACCCTCCCCCTCCTCCTCCTCCTCCTCCTCCTCCTCCTCCTCCTCCTCCTCCTCCTCCTCCTCCTCCTCCTCCCCATCATCATCATAATCATCATCATCATCATCATCATCATCATCATCATCATCATCATCATCATCATCATCATCATCGTCATCATCATGATCCTAGTCTCCCTCCTCCTCCTCCTTCTCATCCTCCTCCTCCCCCTACCTCTCCGTTCCTTCCCCTTATAGATAACTTCTCCCTGTCGCACCCCGAGGCCTGTTTTCAGGGCGGGCTGGCCGTTTCGACTGAGAATTCCTCACCATTTATGACTCTGAAGCCTAAAACACTGACAACAGCTTCACAGATGGAGGGCGGGTGGTTTTCAAAATTTGGCTCCCGCCTCAGCGTCGCGCACATTCGTCTTCAACATGTGCAAGAGCTTCACGGGTCGAGGGCGGGTCGTTTCAAATGTGGCTCTCGCCATGGCGCCGCGCACATTCGTTTTGAACATTTCTAGGAGCTTCACGGATTGAGGGCGGGTGGTCTTCAACATGGTGTTCTCGCCTCAGCGCCGCGCACACTCGTTAACAAATGCGAGAGTTTCACGAATTGAGGGCAGGTCATTTTCAACATGTGGCTCTCGCCTTAGCGCCGCGCACATTCGTTTTAAACAGTTGCAAGGGCTCCACGGATTGAGGGCGGGCCGTTTTCAAAATGAGGCTCTCGCCTTAGCGCCGCGAGCATTCGTTTTAGAAATGTGCCAGAGTTCCGCGGATTCAGGGCGGTTCCTTTTCAAAATGTGGTTCTCGCCTTAGCGCCGCGCACATTCGTTTTAAACAGTTGCAAGGGCTCCACGGATTCCCATGATCAACGTACCAGAACTTGTGCTCTGGAAGGATTCAGGATTACGCGGGTGCAACGGCTCTGTTGATTCGCAATGTTGGAGTCCGACAACTGACGCTCTGGCACGATTCCGGATCGTCAAGACGCAGCAGTCAGGTTGCTACATGGCGTTGAAATCCTCCCGACAACAATGTTTTGGAATACTTCAGGATCTTCAAACGGTTGTCTTCCAACGAGGCAGTTCCCTGAATGGGAATGAACCGTTGTAGGGGCCTATAAAGAGGGAGCTTGGAGGGAGGAATAATTCCAACATCGTTGATGAGTCTTAGGTTTACACTGGTCCTCCCCCTCCTCCTCCTCATCATCCTCCTCCTCCTCCTCCTCCTCCCCCCTCCTCCTCCTTCTCCTCCTCCTCCTCCTCTCCCCTCCTCCTCCTCCTCCTCCTCCTCCTCCCCCTCCTCCTCCTCCCTCCTCCACCTCCTCCTCCCCCTCCTCCCCCTCCTCCTCCTCCTCCTCCTCCTCCTCCTCCTCCTCCTCCTCCTCCCTTCTGCCTCGAGGTAAAACTCAGATTAAACAAGACGAGTTCGCACGGAGCGTCCCAGAGCGTCCTGGATCGGCGGCCGAACCCCGAGACATCTCCAAGGTTCTTTCCCAAGGGGCCCACAGCCCGGAGTTCTGGGCGCTCTCCCGGGTGCTCCTGGGCGTTATCCCGGGGGGTCCCTGCGTAACTTCTCCAGAGGCCAAGAGCGCGTTGCTCGGATATCCATCGGTCGGAAGAAGTAGTCAGAACCATGAAGTAGGAAGGCTTTGACAACAATGCTACCAGAAAAAACAAAAAAAAAAAAAAAAAAAAAAACGTGTGTTAGAATATAGGGCTATGGTGCTATTGGGCTTTCGGGCGATGGGGCTATGGGGCGATAGGGCTATGGAACTTCAGGGCTGTAGGTCAATAAGGCTTTAGGTCTATAGTCCTACAGGGCCATAAGGCTATAGGGCTGTAGGGCTATAGGGCCATGGGGCTCTCGGACTCTGGGGCTATAGGGGCTATGGGGCTATAGGACCATAGGGCTATAGGGCTCATGGGATATGGGGCTGTGGGGCTATGGGGGGCTATAGGGCTGTAAGGCTCTAGGGCTTTAAGGCTGTCAGGCCATGGGGCAATAGGGCTCTAGGGATATAGGGCTACTGGGCTATAGGGCTATTGGGCTGTAAGGCTATAGGGCTATAGGGCTACAGGGTAATTGGGCTATAGGACTATAGGGCTATAGGGCTATAGGGCTACAGGGCTATAGAGCCATAGGGCTTTAGGGCTCTAGGGCTCTAGGGTTATAGGGCTATAAGGCTATAAGGCTATAGGGCTATGGGGTTATAGGGCTATTGGGCTATAGGGCTATAGGGCTATTGGGCTATAGGGCTATTGGGCTATAAAGGATATAGGGCTACAGGGCTATAGGGCTACAGGGCTATAGGGCTATAGGGCTATAGGGCCATAAATGCCTGGGCACCCAGGCACCCGGGCTCCTGGGCACCCGGTCACCCGGGCACCGGGCACCCGGGCGGGCCGCGGATATCAGTGGCACACCTCACCTAACCATATGAATCCGCTAGGACCACTGCAGAGGCAAGCTGGCAAGCTCTGATTGGGGAAGATTGGGTTCCGTCCGCCCCTAAGGAGGACGGAAAAGATTAAGCCACTCGATCATTGAAGCAGGAGGGCGCTTAAAGTAGATTGGAATCTGGGAACTCCAGAAATACCTACTCTCAACGACCGATGTGTGTGCATGTCCAACATGGTCTCGGATGGCCCCGGGGACCGTCTTGGAGCCCTCTTGGGCGCCTCTTGGGCCGTCCTAGAGGCCGTGGAGGGCGGCCCAGAAGGCCAGCATCGCTCAAATCCGTGGGTGCGCGCATGGTGTTCGCATTACCGCCTGTTGGGTCTTCAGAGCGTCCAAGACGCCTCAACAGGCGCCCAAGGTCGCCCCAGAACGGCCTAAGAGCCCCCAAGAGTCCCCAAGAGTGGCCCAAGAGGCCCCCGAGACAGCCCCAAGAGGGGCTCAAGAGGGCGAACACGAACTGGCAGCTTGAGCCCTCCGCCCCAAGATGGCCCCAAGATCCCCCAGAAGCCCCCGAGGTGCGCCCAAGAGGCCCCAAGAGGCCCCCAAGAGATCCCGAGAGGCCCAGATCGGGCCCCAAGAGGCGGCCCCCAAGACGCCCCAAGACTCACCCACAAAACCACCTCCAAGAGGCATCCGAGAGGCCTCCCAAAAGGTCCTAACGGGCATCCAGGAGGCATCTGACCTACAACCCAGGCACGGCGGCGGGATGGGCCAAAGTCCACCAAACAACAGAAAGCACGACGAAATGCCCATCCGCCCCTCTCCAGCTCTGCCGCGACGGCTGCTTCGCCTGCCTTCTCCCGCCCGATCCCGTTACCCGCTGCGTCATACCATCCGCCGCCATGCCGACACCTCCAACATGATCGGAAGCGCCGTCCACTCACGATGGCCTGCGCACCAATCCTACAACCGATCCGTTTCCCTACCGCCCGAGCCCGTTGCCCACTGGGTCATGCCATCCGTTGCCATACCAACACCTCCGAACATGATTGGCGGCGCCGTCCACTCAAGACAGCCCTGCGCACCCGTCCTACGACCGATCCGCTTCCCTGCCGCCCCTGCCCTGCTCTGGGGCCCCATCGAAGCGGAGCACCACGCTGTGCAGGGTGCAACTCGCGGACAGCACCAGCTCAGTAAATGAACTGCTGGCGCTGTGTGCTGGATACTAGGACAGAGGACAACTAGTAAGGTGCAACTAGGATGCTGGACAAAGATGTGCAGGGTGCAGTGCAGATGGCCCCTTGCATGCCACAACGATGGCTCCATCAACTGGATCTTACTGGGGGGGGAGCTTGCACTATGTCTGCATGATCAGTGGATGACCAACATCCGAAGTCACAACTGCATCTGAGACAAAGAAGGATTGGCGCTATCATCACTGTCGGGTACGAAGGACTCGCCAATAGAACTCATGCCCAGCCATTAGCCTGTAATCATCGTGCGCCCCCCGCTTCAATTCCTGGTCGTGCATGCGCACCCGAACACTCTGTCGGAAGCATGGCTTGAGGCAAGGTGTCGTCACTATCGTCATCCAGCGCTTGAGAAAATCAGATGGTGGAGCTCTGGGCAGGCACGAGCCTGTCTGCAGCTTCGTCTGCTCACATCCCACCAAGATCCCTTCTGTGAAGTTTGACTCTTCGCACTGCACCTCCACACAACAACGCTTCCATTCCCCAAATCCCGCCTCAGCGCTGGCGAAGGTGGCCGTCGCTGCGACGGGAACCCCAGGAGCGCTAATCACCTGCACTCCCGTCCGCGAGACGACGGTCTCAGGGAGAGGGCAGACGACGGATGCAATACATCCAATTACACAGCTCTGCGACCCCAGAGGCCAGAGTGTCACACACACACACACAGACACACAGACACACACACACACACACACTCGCACACACACACACACATTCGCACACACACACATACATTCGCACACACACACACACACAATCACACACGCACACACAATCACACACGCACACACACACACACACACACGCACCCACGCACGCACACCAAGCGATCCTGAAAGAACCGGACGAGCGACACGCTCCGCGCATCGCCCGCCACCCTCCGCCAACACAGACGGCACACGTGGCAGCGCACCAGACGACGGCAAACCACACGACGGCAGCCCGCTCGCCAGCACGCCCCAGGCCTGCCCGCCGACACGGTGCGCAGCGCTGACGAACGAGTCCACACCACCCGAAGCTGGATGCGCCGCCACGGCTGGCGACGGTGAGCGCCCATCCAGCTGGCCTTCCTCTGCAGGCGCCCTGCGCCGAGATGTCGCGAGTTTCCGGCCCGGGCCTCGGCATCGGAAGGGGCCCAGGGACACACCAGCACATGCACACACACACACAAATCCCAGGATGCACCCCCCTACTTTCTCACATCTTCTTGATTGCCGTCTTCCCAACCGTTTCCCACATGTTCCCACATTCTTCCTGGGAATCGACGAGCCGTGGTGTCTGCGTGTAGTATTCCCCCTGCTGCGCATGTATACTGCATCCTGCCGCAGGACAGCCGCTGCGCTCGTCCGCGGCGACGGGGCCTCGCAGCCCTCCCCCCAAGACATCCGCCCTTTGGTGCTCTCCAAACCAGGTGGTGAGACACCCGGTGGTGACCCCGATTCCCCCAAAAGATAATTCTGGGTCACCACCGGGTTTGGGGGCACGCGGTCGCCACGAGGTTTTGCGTTTCCTGGGCCAGCCGGCGCTCGAAAACCATTACCCAAATCGCCCAAAACTCACCACCGGGTGTTCTCACCACCACGTTTGGGGACCACCAAGCCCTGCGCTCACTGCGACGTGGGCCCCCAGGAGTTCCCGACCCCGCTTCGTCCGGCCAACGTCGCGCGACGGTCCCGGGGGGCCCGCCTCCGGAGAGGCCAGACACAGCCGGGGGGAGAGGGGGGGGAGGGGGGGCAGTGAGCGGCCGTCGCGATGTCCTTCGTGACGGAGGCTGCCATGCCACATCCCGGAAGAAAAACAAAAAAAAAAAAAAAAAAAATCTCCCACGTCCCCAGGACAGGACCGAGCGCAGCCTCGACCGACAACCGAAGAGGACAGAACCTGGATGAGCATCAACGCCTGCATGTCCACGCGGAGTTCTCTGAGCGGCGCTGGACCCCGCAGTGGCGCCCCAGGCGCCGCCCCTGGCACCAACGAAGTTGGCGAGCCCCCAGATCACCAAATCCACAGCACTGCGAGGCCAATTTTTGTACACCAGCATCGCCCGCAACAGTAATTTGCCGCAAAAAGGGTTAGGGGCAGGGCCAGACGACGCTGCGACGCCACGGCGAGAAAGGAGCGCGGCGCAGCTCGCAGGCGCCGTGGCATGGGGAGTTCCTGAAGCAGAAACAGCACTTCTTGGTGGTGGTGTATAAGATTCGCTCCTCTTGGTAGCCAAAATTCTATACACCACCACCGCGCGTGCTTTGATGAATCCTGTTTCGGTCCTTAAGAGAGAGGGGGGGGCAGCCCGGTTGCCGTTGGCGGCGGAAGGGGGACTGCGGACTTTTCACCAAAGCAAAACTGCACCACATTGCATCGTATAGTATTCTCGATCTTGGTGGTGGTACTCATATACTGCGCTCGGAAGCAAGTCCAAAATTCCTAACAAAATTCACGAACCCCCCACACGATCTCTTCTGCAGCGCCCCATGGTGCAGGGCTTCCGTGAAAATCTGCGTTGCCCCCCACAAATGGCCTATCTCCTGGGAGTGCACAAACTGACCTCCAGTGAACATCCACACGGTTTTCGGACCCACCCGTCCATCTGCCCAACGGGACAAGTCCGCCTCAATCCGGCCCAAGACCGCCCTGAGCATGCTCGGAGACGGCCCAGTTCCGCTAAGATTCCCCTGGCATGCTCGGGACCCCACTGAGGACGACAAGGATAACTGTCCATAAACTCCTGGTGTGCAGACTCATCTAGACAAAGAACACGAATAAATACCTGCCAGTCGCAAGAACGACGTGGAAACATAAAATAGGAAGGCGGATGAAAAATATTGGGTTCGGAGCCGCCCAGAGGTACTAACACAAGACATCAAAACAGGTCGACTCTCTTGAAATTGGAGGGCGCTCAAAATGGAGATCTGGGTATCGAAAAATGCCTACGTCCAACGACCGGCGTTCAATCGTGCATGCGACACCCGTATCAACCTTCGCAGGGCCGCGCGAACCTCTTGGACCGCCGCTGCCCCCTCCCCCCTCCGCGACGCCAGAGGTGCCGCCCTGCGGGGGGGGGGGGACCGGCCCCTCCGCACATCCAAGAACTCCGCCCAGACCTCCGAAAGTTGGCGCTTACAGTCAGACTCGATTGGACAGGACACGCGAGAGGACACAAGACCCTTCCGAGGGCCACATTGCCACAGGAATGTAGGAAGCATGGGTCGCGAGACGCAGGTCACAAGGGTACCCTTGATTTGGCAGGATCGACCTACTGATCTGGGCCGACCGTATGCGTTGTTTGCCGTCGTCGGTCATCACCGTCTGCCTCTGCAGCTGCATGCACTCCCAACGGCGCTGGCCACGAAAGGGTAGGGCGGCGGCGGCAAGAGCATCACAAGACGGGGAACGTGCCCCAGAGCCCCCCAGAGAGACCCGGCAGAGCGGTGGTGGAGGAGGAAGACGAGGAGGAGAACGAGGAGGATCCTCCCACTCCTCCTCCATACTCCCGCCCTCCCTTCCCCCCTCTCCTCCTCCTCCTCCTCCTCCTCCTCCTCCTCCTCCTCCTCCTCCTCCTCCTCCTCCTCCTCCTCCTCCTCCTCCTCCACCTCCACCTCCACCTCCACCTCCACCTCACCTCCACCTCCACCTCCACCTCCACCTCCTCCACCTCCTCCTCCTCCTCCTCCTCTCCTCCACCTCCCTGCTCCCTGCTCCCTGCTCCCTCCTCCTCCTCCTCCTCCGCCTCCTCCTCCTCCTCCACCTCCTCATCCTCCTCTCATGTTCCATATAGTTAGACAACCTCTCCCTGTCGCACCCCGAGGCTGGTCGAAGGGGCTGGCTGGGCGTTCCGCCTGAGACTCCCTCACCACTTTTGACCCGGATGCTTAAAAATGGACAACAGTTTTAGGTCGGGCATGTCCCCCTGCAGGCGGATTTGGGATAAAAAACCAAACATACCCAAACAAAATCAAGAGCAGTCAAACAATGATCAAACATCTTCCCCGGACTATGGTTTGATTATGTTTGAATATTCCCTCTGTAGAGGGACATGCTAGACTTAACAGCAGCTTCATAGATGGAGGGCGGATCGCTTCCAAAATGTGGCTCTCGCCTTAGCGCCGCGCACATTCGTTGATTTGAGCATTGGCAGAAGTGTCACATATTGAGGGCGAGTGGTGTTCAAAATGTGGCTCTCGCCTTAGCGGTAGCGCCGCGCACATTCGTTCTAAACACTTGGAAGAGCTTTACGGGTTGAGGGCGGGTCGCTTCCAAAATGTGGTTCTCGCCTTAGCGCCGCGCACATTCGTTGTAAACGTTGGCAACAGCTTCACGGCTTGAGGGCGGGTGGTGTTCAAAATGTGGTTCCCACCTTGGCACCGCGCACATTCGTTCTAAACACTTGGAGGATCTTCACGGATTGAGGGCGGATGGCTTTCAAAATGTGGCTCTCGCCTTAGCGCCGCGCACATTCGCTTTTAGAAATTGTGCTCTCATGGTTAATGTGAAACTGCGTTTTGGAGCGATTCAGGATTGCCAGGGCGCCACAGTTACATTGATTCGCGGTATTGAAGTCCCAGGAATGGTGTTCTGGCACGCTTCGGGATCGCCAAGCCTTAGCAGTCAGATTAATCATGGCGTTGAAGTCCTGAAAATAATGTTCTGGCACGCTTCAAGATATTCACACGGTTGTCCCCCAACGTGGCAATTTCCTCAGAGGAAGTGGCCCCTTGTAGGGGCCCAAGAAAGAGGGATCTTGGAGGGGAGGTGAATTGCAACATCGTGGATAAGTCTGGGGTTTACACTTGTCCCCCTCCTCCTCCTTCTCCTCCTCCTCGTCCTGGTCCTTAATCCCCCTCATCCCCCTCCTCCCTCCATCCCTCCACGAACTGACCATTCCGAGTCCTATTCCCATCCCTGGGGAAACCACAATGTACGGATACCGCTACTCCTCAGACCTCTCCCGGGGTGCGTTCTGACCAGAATTTTCAGGCGAATGCAGCGGTGGCGACGAGGGCCTCCGAGGACGCCCAAAAAGGCGAAACCGAAGGAAGGGTAGCAGTACTGGTATCGGTTCTCCTCTCAATTCCTCCTCAGGTTCCTCCTCCTCCTCCTCCTCCTCCTCCTCCTCCTCCTCCTCCTCCCACTCCTCCTCCTCCTCCTCCTCCTCCTCCTCCTCCTCCTCCTCCTCCTCCTCCTCATTTTCTTCTTCGATCATCGGGCCCTCGTGCGCGTCTCGATCGATGGCGAGGAGACGAGCGTGCCGGCAGAGCGGGGTGTCGGTTCACAGAGCCCTCCTCGAGCGGGCAGCACGCGCGGACCGACCCGCAGCGCAGTTGAGGCTGCCATGACGGGAGGAACAGGAGGAGCGGGGAGGGGGAGGGGGGGGGGAAAAGGACGAGCTCAAGAGGCGCAAGAGGGGAGGAGAGAGAGAGAGGGGGGGGGAGGAGGGAGGAGGGAGAGGAGGGGAAGAGGGAGAGGACGGAGAGGAGGGAGGAGGGGGGGAAGAGAAGGACGAGGCAGAGGAGGAGGAGGAGGAGGAGGAGGAGGAGGAGGACGGCGAGGGAGATGGGGGAGAGGGGGGAGGCAAGAGGGCAGGAAGGAGTGGACTCACGGCAGGGCCCGGGGCGCCGGCGCGGCGCCCACGGCGGGAGGCGAGGCGGCGCCGCTGCGCGGGAGGCCGGCCGCGGAGCCGGGATCCCCGGAGCGGTGCGTGCGTGTGCTGTGCGGTGCGTCCCGGCGCCACCCTCGGAGCGCCCCAGACACGAGGCTGAACCTAGACCTCGCCTCTCCTCGCCTCTCCTCGTCCCCTCCTCCCTCCTCCTCCTCCTCCTCCTCCTCCTCCTCCTCCTCCTCCTCCTCCTCCTCCTCCTCCTCCTCCTCCTCCTCGTCACTCCTCCTCCTCCTCCTCGTCACTCCTCCTCCTCCTCGTCACTCCTCCCGCTTTCCCCGCCTCCTCCTCGCACGTGCCCCCCTTCCCCCCCTGCCCGTCCTCCCCTCCTCGGCCCTCCGCCTCCGCCCTCTCCGCCGAGGCCGGTCCGTGCTCGAGCCGCGGCGTGGGCGGACGGGGGGGGACGGGGCCTCCCTCCTGCCATGTTCTGGGCGCAGAGGTCCACATCTGAGATTGTTCGCAGGGCTGAACCTAAGCGGTGCTTGTCGTTTTCGTTTCGTTGTCGTGTTCCCTCGTGTTGTCTTCAATCCGCCTCTGCCACAAAACGAAGTCGAAGCGAAAACGGCCCACGAAATCGCCAAAACACCGTTTAGGTCCAGCCCTGCCCAGACAGTGCACCACCACCAGCCTTGGCCATGCCGATCATGGTCGGGGAGACGTAAGACTCGGGTACGCCGGACTCAGGTTGGCCTGACGGGGCCATCATAAGAATGACGAGGCCGAAGCTGACACTTGACGCGAGGCTCCCGCTGCAGGCATCCCGCGAAAACCGCACCGCTGAAATCTGGGGCGCGCCCGTCAGAAAGCGTCGGCGAACCCGAGCTCCGGCCTACTCGAGCCTTACGCTTCCCCGACATGGGCCCCGGGCCCTGGGCTGGGCAAGGAGGCCCGTGCACCGATCCAGGGCCCGGGAGGTGCCCGGCCAGGGCCCGAGGGCTGGCAGCGGCGCAGAGTGCCCTCTGGCCATCCTCCGGCACCTGTCCGCTGCGGCCCTCTGGCCCTGGGGCGGTCCGCGTCGGTATGCGGCCCGCGACGGAGCCAGGGACAGAAAGCCCTGGCAAAATTTGACCATGCGCTAGAGTTCTAATTGTTTGTTTTCCTTCATCTTCGATCTTATTCCCGCTCGCCATCCCATCTTCATCTCAGGTCGATCGGGTGGATACTACTATCAAAAAGCATCTGGGGGGTCTGGGGGGGTCCCAGGCTCCCTGGAACTTCGGGGCGGAGCAGTCGTGGAGAACTCGGTACGGGCAGCCAGACCTGGACCCGACACTCCCGCAGGCCAGATCCCGGGAAGAGTGGCTGGTGCCCAGAATTCCGAGGGTTGCAGATGTCTGCGGCCAAGTGAACCCCAGCGGGGCTGCCCGATGCCCCAGGGTTCCCAGGTGAACGTTTTCTCAATCGGCTTTTCGACATTGGGCGGAAGGGGAGGGGAGGGGGGGGGGGTCTGGCTCTGGACCTCTGCTTAATGCGACCGTTTGCAACCGTGCATCCCATGGGAGAGGCCCCACCTGCTCGAAACGTGCGCCCAGAAGAGCCACGATCTACTCCATCAGGGGGGGGGCGCTGCGAGGGCCTGCGCCGCTCGGCAAGACGAGGAACAAGAAAACGATCACCAGACAGCCGGCGATCTGGCTGCTTCCATCCGCGGCCCCAGAGCCCCCTGGCCATCGCTCGGACGTCCGTTCTCTGTGTCTTTGTTTCGGTTTCGCGCGTTCGCCAAATAATCAAGGATGCTCCTCTATGGTCCTCGCCGACGGAAAAATGCACACGTCCGAGCGATGCCAAGCCCCCGACGCCCTCCCCTGCCGGGGAGTGGTTTTGCGTCCCGAGCCCAGCTGTGGGCGGCCCACGGGCCCGAGAGCTCTGCACCTGGAGGCCGATGTGTATGTCGATGTGTATGTCGATGTGTATGTGCATGTGTGTAAGCGTCTGCGTATAGGTATGTGTGTATGGTTATGTGTATGTGCATGTGCCTGCGTATGTGTGTATGTGAATGTGCATGTGTATGTGTATGCGTATGTGTATGTGTATGTGTATGGATATGCGTGTGTTGTGCGTTGTGTGTTGTGTGTTGTGTGTGACGTGTGTTGTGTGTTGTGTGTTATGTCTGGTGTGTGCTGCGCGTGTTGTGTGTGGTGTGTGTGTAATGTGTTGTGTTGTGTGCTGTGTTGTGTTGCGCTATGCTGTGTTGTGTCAACTTGTTATGTGCATGCGTTGCGTTGTTTTGTGTCGTGTCGTGTTGTGTTGTGTTGTGTTGTGTTGTGTTGTGTTGTGTAGTTATGTGTGTGCTTGTGCTTGTGCGTGAACGTCTGTGTGAATGTGTGTGAATGTGTGAATGTGTGATGTGTGTAGTGTGTGTTTGTGTGTGGGTGAGCGGGTAGGTGGCTGTGTATCCGTGTGTCTGTGTGTGTCTGTGTGTCTGTGTGTTTGCACATGGCTCAACGCGTAGATGCAAGAACGTGAGTCTGACTGCATACACTCCACAAAACGCAGGCCCACGTGTTGAGCCGACACGTAACGTCTCGCCCTGGCACGTTTGCATGAGGGGCAGGGGCAACGATCGGGGGGAATGGCACACGAGGGGAGACATCGAGCTGGAATCGACGATACATCGCCGATAGAATGGCGATAGCGAATCCGCACGTTCCTGGGCGGGGCGGGGCTATCAGACCCCTATCGGCGATCACTGGGCGATTGGGGGTCGTTGCCTCCCCCGCTTTGCTTCGGTCGGGCATGTCCCCCTACAGGCGGATTGTGGACGGGGAACAAAAATCAAAACATACACCCAAATGGTCAAAAATCGTCAAACAGCGTCCCCTGAGTACTTTTGGGCTACTTTTGAATTTTCCTCCTGTAGAGGGACGTGCCCGACTGAACCCTATGCCTTGCCTCCCCCCCCCCTATCGCTGCCCCTGCTTGAGCACGGCACGTGTTGCGTCTCGACCCGGGCGCCTCCGGGCAGCCGAGATCGTCGGAAGTCTGGGCTTAGGTCGGGCGCGTCCTCCTACAGGCGGATCTTTGGACGAAAGATGGAGAAGAGTCAGAAAAATATGCAGAACTTGTCCAAACGAATCGTCGGAAAATCGTCCGCAGATTTTGTTTTGTGGACTTCTTGTAAGTAATTCCTCCTGTAGAAGGCCGTGCCCGACCCGAGTCTGGGTTCGCCGCGGGTCGCAGGCCCAGAGGGCCCTCGAAGGCGTCGAGGGAGCTGCGCCCGCCGCAGGGGAGCACGGGCAGCGCTCTCCCCCCCCCCAAGGAGGAGGAGGAGGAGGAGGAGGAGGAGGGGGAGGAGGGAGGAGAGGAGGAGGAGGAGGAGGAGGAGAGGAGGGGAGGGAGGAGGAGGAGGAGGAGGAGGAGGAGGAGGAGGAGGGAGGAGGAGCAGGAGGAGCAGGAGGAGGCTCTCCCCCCCCCGAGCGGCCCCGGCCGGCGGCCGAGGCCCCGGGAAGGGCCGCCGCTCGCCTTGGGGGGGCGGGCGATGCTCCCGAACTTGGCCAGCAGCTTCATCACCTCCGCCAGGCTCAGGGAACCAACTGCTCCTCCTCCTCCTCCTCCCTCCTCCTCCCCCTCCTCCTCCTCCCTCCTCCCCCTCCTCCTCCTCCTCCCCCTCCTCCCCCTTCTCCCTTCTCCTCCCTTCTCCTCCGTCGGAACGATTGAAGAGGATGAAGCCCCATTGGGGGGCTGCTACGCCAGAGTGGGCATCGGATTCAGCGAGATGCAGCCGGACACAGCGGGAGTGGGCGGGGGTAAGCTGGATGAAGCGGGATCAAGCGAACAGGACAAAATCAGAATTTGACCTCCCAGGAGTTGCATCCGAGAGCGCTCTCTCCAGCCTGCCCTGCGCGCCACTCACTGAGCAGGGATCCGACCGTCCCGGCAGCCCTATAGGCCTACCACGAAATTGTCTTAGAACCTAAACATGTTCCAATAACAAATACAATGTTCTTAGAATGTCAACCCGGTGTGTGTGTGTGTAAACAAAACAACATCGGCCAGAAATGTTCTAAGAACAGTTCATGCAGGCCACGAAAGGTTCTTAGAACATTCCTGGGTGGGCCTATGGGAGAGCCAGGACGCCTCGCCACTGCTTGAACTCCGGATGTGTGCACCCCGAGGCCTCGATGTTGGACCCCCCTTGGCCTCCCATCGCGCCCCTTCGACCTCTGATCGTGCCCCGATCGGCTATAGTCTCTCGCCGAGGCGAAGGGAGCGCCCTCGAGTCTGCCCGCTGCAGAAGGGGGAAACGGCAACGTGAGCACGAACTTCCGGGGGCTCCGTGGAGCCCGCCGTGCATGCCGCGGCCCTGGCGGCGGTCGAGGGCTCCTCCGGAGTCCTGGCCCTGGGCAGCTCCCTGTGGGTCCTCAGCGCCATCAGCCTGGCCAAGGCCGCGACGGAGGCCGGCAAGCCGGTGGTGCTCGTGAACATTGGCGAGAGAAGAAGAAGAAGAAGCATCTGCATGCACATAACCTCTCGGAACTCCGCGCGGAGCTCCGAAAATCCATGAGTATGCACTCGATTGCTTCTTCTTCTTCTTCTTCTTCTTCTGATTCTTCTTCTTCTTCTTCTTCGATGCTCGGCGCGTCACTCAGGACGTACGACAGCGGCAACCATGCACCGTACCACCATGTGTGGACTCCCTTCAGGCCCCGCTCCAGCGCGGTACGCTGCGTAGTTCTTCTTCTCTGATGGGCCGAAAGACAATGTCATGAGGACATTCCTGGAGACCTCGCGCGGCAACTTCAGACCCGATGCACGTCGGAGCCACGTCGGATTAACGTCGGGCTCACGTCGGACTACGCCGGATGTACGTCGGATCTGCGTCGCACCGACGCCAGAGCATCGCCGCGCGAGCGCCGACCCATCACCTGCACGGCGCTGACGCGTGGACGACAGAATACAACTGTTACGCGCCGCGCGAGGCCCCCAGGATTTCCCGCAAAGCTATATGCACCGTACAGGGCAGTTTTTAATACATAGGATGTTTTTGTTACAAAAATGGGATGTTTAATACATGACTGATCTATGAATAAATCGATGCATGAACTCGTCGTTGTCTTTGATGCTAACTCCCTGCATGTTTAATGCATGATCCGCACGCGGAGCATGTATTAAAAACGGCACTGTATGGGAAGCACAAAGACATACTAGTACTATATGTCCTCCTTGGAGGCGCGCGTCCGACCCGAACATGTAGTATACCCATCTTGTAGTATATCGTTTCCCGAGCGGTGTGGCCAGAAAGCGCCCGCCACGACGCATATACTATAAGATTTCTCGGTGCGCGCGTCGCCCCTGGGGGGGCGACGCACATATAGTATAAGTATGTTGGGGTGTTGCCGACTGTACCGCTCCCGGGCCGCGGCGCGACGACGCCTCGCGGGCGCGCCCGCGCGGCACGGCGCACGGCACGCGGGCCCTCTCTCCGCCGGGGGGGGGGGGCGTGCGGAGCCCGGGCCCCCTCGAGGCCGGCCGGCAGCCCCGCGGGGGGCCTCCGCGAGCGTACCCCGCTGCCGGGGGGGGCCTCCGCCTCCCCCCCGGCGGGGGGCGGGGGGGGAGGCCCGGCGGGCGGGCGGGGGGGGGGGGGGGAAGGAGGAGGAGGAGGAGGAGGAGGAGGAGGAGGAGGAGGAGGAGGAGATGGAGGAGGAGGAGCGGGTGGGCTCCGCGTCGGGCGGGCGGCTCGCAGGGGTCGCACCCGCGGGGTGCCGCCGCGCGGCCTCGAGGGGCGCCCTCGAGGGGCGCGCGGGCGCGCGGGCGTCCAGCGTGGGCGCTCCGGCCTGCACGAGCAGTTCGGGGAGGAGCTCCGCCAGGTCAGAGTTGCGAAAGCATGGTGGCCCCATGTGCGTGCTGTCCGGATGCGCATGAGGAAGTTCGTACAACGCACAGTCGAGCAACGTTCAACGCTTTGATTCGAATGTAGAGGGATCGGAAAAAGCATGTCATCGCACGACGAGCCCGAGAACTCACCCTCAAAACTCTGACGCTACGCTTCGCCACATTGCCGCTATATACCCTTTCCCTTGCAACTGAGCAAAAGCGTGCCTTGCCAGCCAATTCGCTGGCGGCTGAAGGTACCACCCTGAAGCCCCCATCATGTGTCAAACACATTGAAGTATAGCAGGCCGAGAGAAAATGAGACTCAAACTACATACCTGTATCATAGGATGCGTGCTTTACTCTTCAGTTCAGCTGCTGCAGGCAAGCAAGCTGTAGGAACCACGAGTGCAAGTACACCAAGAACCGCAGTCTTCCACAAAAACCGAGGCGCCGTAGCACGGAAGCGCGAGTCCTGGGATCACACTGTCGCTACCGACTCGACGGCACCATTAACCTCGCCTCTCAACAGCCCGTAGATACACGTCAACCAGGATGCTGAAACCCTGCACGAGATAAGCGAATGCGTTTCTGCTAGGCGCCTCTACATAACGATTGTGGTTTGAAGGGGGGCTCTGAAGGGGAGCACTCTGATGAGGCAACCCTCGTAAATCCATCTGCGTCCCGAACTTCCTGCTCACCTCAAACCAAGCGCTAATCCTTGGACAGTCCTGCGAACCATCGCTTCCCCTGCTCGGAGCACGACAGAGCAACTCAATTTCTCTGTCGGCAGCACTACACCCCTCCTCGAAACCAAATGCAAGTTTGTAATGTTGATCGGCGCGCAAAACGCCGCCCGCGGGGTCAGATTTGTTGCGCCTGGAGTCGCCAACTTCATCGCGACCATTGAAAATTGGGGATCCTGGGGCGCCGCCACGTCGCGGGAAAAACTTGCGTTTGATTCCGAAGAAGAATATAGTGCAGGGTGCTGCTGGAGCTTTCCGAGAACCTGGCTGCCCACCCCTTACTCAAGACAGCAAGGTCCCCGCCAAGTCGAGGGAAAATGCCTCATCACGACGGTGCACTCCCGGTCGGCCCGCACGGCACCTCGCAGGAAGAGCGAGGGAAAGGGCGAATGCAACCAGCATGACAAGGGACATGTCGACCCTTATCCCAGGCTTTGGGAGGTTTTCGAATGGATCAGCGTTTTGGGCACAACCCTGGGATATACGATAGGGGGGCATCCATCCTCGATAGGGTCTCGTCCGAATAGACCCCTTGGGGTGTATCCCAGGGTTTCCCCTACTTCTGAGCGGCCAAGCTTTTCGGGCGTAACCAGGGGATTGGGGAAGAGAAGTCGCCTGCAACAATAATGCGGGCGAGTAGTTGCGAAGCCTTGTGCAATACATTGGCAAGCTGTGTTGTATCGTGGGCTTCGCCCAAAAAAATAGCGACACGGCACCACCCGGGCTACAATGCAAAACCTCACACCCGCTTTTCCCTCCTGCAGTCTGGAGAGCGAACAGGGGAGAGTGAAGGTTGGTTGCCGACGGGATGCGATTTGCAGCTCCACCCACAAGTGGAGTCGGATGATGAGAATCAAGCACTTCGCCAATCAAGGGGGGGAGCATTACGTCGACGCTTAGATGGGCGGCGGGATGGAACAGTGAACAGAGACCGCGTGCCCACATGTAGAGCTTGCGGAGTCTGACCACGACTATACGGAAGCCAAATGTGGTCTCAGGAAAAAACTTCCAGAGATGTCAAAGGCGAAAACGCAAGGAGGGCACATCCTGAACACATGCCCACGACACACCCACACACACAACCGACATACCGAGTGTTTCAAACTGAATGCGGGAAGATACGGTGAGCAGATAGGGCACACAGCGATAAGTTGTGCACGGCGGCTACGTGGAATCTAGATAGGGGCATACATGTTGCAGATGAATACGCGACTGATGTGATTGTGAATTCAGCGTGGTTGAGCGGTGTGCACACAGGCGCGGACGCACATTGCGCACACGCGCACAATGCACTGAAGACGTCAAACAAATGCACACGGTGTTGAACATGGTGATGTAGGGCCCATGCGATTGACTGACGCAGCTCAACCGGCGTTCGCCCGTGATGTGCCTATTCATGTGATATCGCATCGAGCTAGTTACGTCTCGTCCCATACACCATTCGCACAAGTCGTTGATACATCCATATAGCCACATACAGATGGGCATTGTATGCACATACATACACATAAACAACTCCTACGGGCACGTCACACAACGAATCAGGTTAGAAGCGGGTGGCGTGCAGTGAGCACCCAGGCGGCAGGCGCGTGAAAGGCGCACACAGGGAAATCCACCACGGGCAATCACCACAAATCATCAGCAAGAAACCGCTCAGCAGTTCTGGCCACAACACCCCCTCTCTGTCCTTCACCACTGGAAGCGGCGGTTAGAATGATGCGGCCACGGCCAAACATTTAATTCGAATGCCACTGGACATTTAAATGGGCCCTGGGACACACACACATAAATAGACACAACTCACAGGATTCCCCATATTTTTCCAAATGAGTTGAATTTTCGTCTTCCCCCCCCACTTCCCATATTTTCCGTGCTTTCTCCTCCTGACATTGAAACAGGGGATGACGGCGAGGGAGCAGCGGTGGAAGCCCAACGAGCTTCGATTGCCGCGAGGCAGCGGCAGCCGCAGCAACGCGAAGAGCATGAGGTACCGAGGAACGTGGCAGCACGGGATGGGGCGGCCCGGCCCGTATCATGAGGATGCGCGATGAGGATTCAACGGCCTTGGATGCCCATTTCGAAGCGTTTCGACCGGGGCGCGGCCAACGAAAGTGGCCAAGGATGGACCGAGGAGAAAAGGATGCAAGGGTATTTTTGGGAAGGTTGCCCATCCTTACGATGCGTGTGGACTGTAGTCCATGGAGGGGCCCACAATGCACAAAGTTCACATGGTGTTACACTCAATGTAGGTGAGCGTTCAGTCCGATGTCAAAAATCAAATCTTTGAGAACCCGTGCCGACCCTGCACTGCAACGGCGAAACCTGCAATTTTGCAGGGAAAGCTGACGCCATTGGCACAAGAAGGAACTGCCTCTCAGAAACGGCCCCCCTGATGTCGATTGCACGCTGGGACATCCAAATGCCCTGCTTCGATACAGCCTGAACCACTCGCATTTCCCGGCTGCCATACGAACTGGTCTGCTTTGCCGCGGCAGCCGAGCTTGGCGAACCCCGTGAAAAAAAACGTCTCTCGCAACCAATGCCGACCCAGCTCCGACTCTGAATTCCAATGTCGACCTCAGCGCTGTTGAAGATGCGCCCGTACGAGTAGCAAAATAGGACTCAGTTGTATCGTATGTGAAACTGTTGCAATATCACGGGTGGCCCTTTGCCCAAATGGAGACCGCTCTCGCCGTCGCATTATGCAAAACTGTACGGGCTGGAATGCCTTTAGACTTGAGATTCAGAGTACGGAATGCCTCTCCACTCGGACCGAGTGCACATTACAAACAAAGATCAACAGCCTGATGATGGTCCAGGGGGCTCTGGGCAAACAGATCCTACAACGTCCCTCCAGAATTGCAAAAAAGCCAGCACTGCATCACATTGGAAAAAAATCGAGCCACATGGGTCCCACCCATGAAATTCATTTCGAGCTCAGCGTCGACACATGCGAGATAAAAGCATACTACCAGGAAGACCGAATTCGTGCACACGGCAGATGACCAAAAACTCGTCCGATCATAGCGTCGCACAGGGCAAGACGTCCACCCCATCCCATCTTGATGGGGTGCATCTCTCCATCAGCATCATCACCCTCATCCTCATCATCAGCAGCATCAGCATCGTTATCGTTATCATCGCTTTGTCATCGCATCCCTCCTCCCCTGAGGGAATCGACGTGCGGGGGGGCGGGGCTAGAATCTCTTCTTTCTCGTGACTCGAACCCTCTTCGACGTCACTGTCCTTATCCTTCTCGTCCTGCCGTTCCTCCAGTTCGTCTCGCAGGGCAAGGCCTGTTGTGTCGTTTGATCTGACGACGCGTTACGCCGTTTGGCGCCAAAACGTGCCTGCACCAGCCGTCTTACTGCATATGTGCAAGCCGACTGTGTAGCAATTCCCCCGCTCCTTCTCTTACTCATTATTGGTCTCTCCGTCCTCGGCGTGTTCTTCCTCCCTTTGGCGTTTCCGTATGTTCCCAATCCCCCTCCTGCGCTTCATCCCCATCATCGATACCCCTCCTGCTCCGTATCCTCCTCCTTCGCGTCATCTCCCCCCGAAACTCAGGCAACAGAGCTTGCTACCTCACGCCGGACGATGAGATGCTGGTGTTCTCTACCACAGCCACCCAAAGAGAGTGCTCGAAGGTGGGTTCAACCGATCATGTGGTGAGATCAAAACACTGCGCATTCGCTAAATTGCAGGCTCCTCGTCTACGTATGGCAGTCCTGTCAGACTTACCCAGCACAAGCCCACGCTGGGCAATCGAGGGGCCGATCCATCGCCAATCGCAAGCTGAATGATGCAACCCACTCGAAGACAAATTCTGAGGAGTCCTGTCAAATCCTTGTCCCCGCCTGGCTATTCGCCAGCGTGACAGCGCGGGCCACAGCAGCTCTTATTCGAACCACGGGACGGGCCGACACAAAAAAAGCGGGCCAGGCAAGGGACAGAAACGGGCAGGAGAGCGAGGAGCCGAGGAGCGACTCAAAGGGGAGGACGCATGCCACCAGGAGGCGGGGTCGTCGCATGGTCCTCCTCCTCCTCCTGTTCTTCCTCCACCTCCTTCCCCTCCACCTGCTCCTCCTCCTTCTCCTCGTCCTCCTCGTCCTCCTCCTCTTCCTCCTCCACCTCCACATGCAACTCCTCCTCCTCCTCCTCCTCCTCCTCCTCCTCCTCCTGCTCCTGCTCCTGCTCCTCCTCCTCCTCCTCCTCCTCGTCCTCCTCCTCCTCCTCCTCCTCGTGGGCAACCGAGGCGGGCCGCAGTCTCCTCCCGCGCCGCGCCGACTAGCGCCGAAGCTTGGCCCGCACAACGGGCACGAAAGCAAGCTTCTCTTCTCTTCTCTTCTCTTCTCTTCTCTTCTCTTCTCTTCTCTTCTCTTCTTTCCTCCTCCTCATGTCCCTCCTCCTCCACCTCCTCCTCATCCTCCTTCTCCTCTTCCTCCTCCTCCTCCGCCTCCTCCTCCTCGTCCTCCTCGTCCTCCGCCTCCACCTCCTCCTCCTCCTCCTTCTCCTCCTCCTCCTCCTCCTCTTCGCCTCCTTCTCCTCCTCCTCCTCCTCCTCCTCCTCATCATCATCATCATCAGCATCATCATCAGCAGCAGCATCATGATCAGTATCATCATCAGCTGCAGCATCATCATTAGCACCATCATCATCATCATCATCATCATCATCATCATCATCATCAGCAGCAGCAGCAGCAGCAGCATCATCATCATCATCATCATCATCATCATCATCATCATCATCATCATCAGCATCAGCAGCAGCAGCAGCATCATTAGCATCATCGTCATAATTAGCATCCCTCCTCCTCCTCCTCCTACTCGTCCTCGTCCTCGTCCTCGTCCTCGTCCTCGTCGTCGTCGTCGTCGTCGTCGTCGTCGTGTCGTCGTCGTCATCGTCATCCTCCTCCTCGTCCTCCTCCTCCTCCTCCACCTCCTCCTCTTCCTCCTCCCCTCCTTCCTTCCCTTCCTCCTCCTCCTCGTCCTCGTCCTGGTCCTCGTCCGCATCCTCGTCTTCGTCGTCGTCGTCGTCATCGTCGTCCTCCTCCACCTCATCCCATCCTTCCTTCCCTCCTTCTCCTGCTCCTGCTCCTCCTCCTCCTCCTCCTCCTCCTCCTCCTCCTCCTCCTCCTACTCCTACTCCTACTCCTACTCCTACTCCTACTCCTACTCCTACTCCGCCTCCTCCTCCTCCTCATCCCTCCCCCTCTCTCGCTCTCGCTCTCTCTCTCTCTCTCTCTCTCTCGTTCCCTCCCATCTCCTCTTGTGCCACCTCCTCCCCCCTGCCCCCTCCTCCCCTCCTCCTTCCGCCCAGCCCCCCGGTCCCTCGCGGCCGACCCGCCGGGGAGCGGCG